CAGATGGATCGACTCACAAACTGGTGGTTATCACTCCGCAACATCTCATGGTGTAGGGCCTTTTTCATCTCATTGTCCACCACATACTGCTGAACAAGAATGGCCCTCTCCCTGACCATAGCGGTGATCTCAGCCACTGTCTCTGTAGTCAGTTGGAGGTCCTGGAACTCCCTCGCAAGCTGTTGCACCACAATCACAGGTGCTAACTCGGCCCTGAAACTCGCAGAGAAATCACTCCAAGTCATAGCATCAAGGGCAGTGTCACCAATAGCAAACCTAACCTCCTCCCACCAGTCGCGTTCCCTGTACTTTAAGAGTTAGGAAGCAAGTTGGACCTTGTCCCCCTCAGTACATCTGCTGGTATGAAAGGCGTTGGCGACATCTACTAACCACATGCTACTAGCAATGGGATCCCAAGCCCCATGATAGTTGGGAGCTCCACAAGCTCTGAACTCCCTGAACGTCAACATGTGTGACCCCATCATGGCCGCCACCTCGATATAGAATGCAGTCAGTCTCTCATCCAAATTCTCCAAGATACCTTCCATGATCGTACCGAATATCAAAGGAGTCTGATTAATGATATTGAATGTGACCTCAGATGAAATAAACTCTCTCATCTACTCATCTAGTTGCCCGACTCTAGAGTTTGAGTCTAATCCCTCACAAGCACCTAAAGTGCCAACTGGTCTAGTGCGTAGTGTCACCATACTGAAAAACACACCATAACAAACATCAAAATACTCATCATATCTCGAGGGATCGCATATAATACAAGTTCCCTGGATTCATCTCAACCTTCCTTGATTCGATTACGGATCCTCTGCATTCAGTAGTACGGGCTCATACTACCTTCCACATCTATTCGTACTTTCCTCAAGAACTATCTTGACTCCACCAAGTCCATTCTACTCTTATTGCTTCATGCGTCAATCCCATCCTACGCTTTCCCTAAGGTAATCACTAACCCACTCTGCACCATTAGATGCGTAAGAAGTCCCTTCTATCTCCCATAACTAGCTCGCGAATACCATTACGTATCACTAAGACTAGATAATTCTTCAAATGAGAGGTCCTACCCTACAACGGTTGGACTCAAACAAGAGTTGAGAAATAGAGCTAAACCTAACCTTCTGAAATTATTTAGTCCTTGAAATATGTAACTTAACATATTCGTTTACTAGTTAGTTAGAGATAAATAGAACTCCTAAAAGCACAAAGCAAGCATCATTCGAGCATTCAGTAAACATAATCTAGCATATCCTAATCAGACCATCATATCACCGATTAATTAGTACTAGCATGCAGTTCATAAGCTCATACACATATAACAGGCATACAAGGCATCCTTCCTAGATCCTTAGCCTTAATCTAGCATGCAGTTCTCATAAAAATATCATAACATGAACTTTTATGGCTAATTTGGGAGTACTTACCTGAGCTCGAATGACTGCATGCACCACACCCTTTTCTCATTTCAAAATCCCTTTTTTGTAAAAATGGTTTTTCTTATTAAAATTTTTTATACCAAGTCTTCGGTTTCAGTTCAGACACAGCTGAAAGTGTATCCGAATCCCTCAAACCAAGGCTCTAATACCAACTTGAAACATCCCAAAATATAGTCCAAAATTTTCATTTTTAATTATAAATAAAATCATAGTAAACCAAATAATCTCATAAAAAACATAATTGATAGTATCTCAAACATCATATCAAAACATTGTACCAAAATCACATGTCCAAACAACGTAGTATAAATATCCCAGGCTGAATAAATGGTGTGTGCACTGCAATCATCCCAAGCTGCTCCCCTTGCTATCAGAAGTACCTGAAACTAAAACTGAAAACTGTAAGCACAAAGCTTAGTGACTCTCCGCAAACTACCATATACCATACACATATCACATAATCACATTACAACATATCATAGACCCCGCTCAGCATTGGCTTTTCCTAACATCGGGCCTCGTCCGGCATCAAACCGCATCCGGCATCAGGCCTTGCCCTACATCGAGTAAAGCTCAGCATACGTATGAGAATATCTACTAATACACATAAACATAAGCATAGTCACCTAATCATAGACATATAAACATTCCTCGGACCCCTCGGCATCGGACCGAGATCCGGAAACCATACAAACATTCCTCAGGGACCGCCCCTACATCAGACCTTAGTCCAGAAAGCATGAAAATACAAACACATGCAAGAATCACAAAGACATCAAGCATACAAACATCCATCAGGTACCGCCCCGACATCAGATCGTAACCCGAAAAAACATATAAACCTACATCGGGCCCAAATCGGCATCAGACCTTAGTCTGAAACATACTATCATACATAAACGGGTCGATATTGGTGCATTCAACCCGTTCCTACAGGAGAAAACTCACCTCAATTGTCGAGTGAAATAGTTGTACGTCTCTGCTCCTACAACTGACTCTACTCACGCCCTATACAGAAACAACCCCTTAGATACCATTCCTTTCTGTAGACCCCTTCACGGGTTAAACATTGTCAAATTCAAAGTCAAAGTCAACACTTAGTCAAAGTCAAAGTCCACAATCCGAGTTGACTCAACTCATCGAGTCATCCTCCTGACTCTTTAAGTTCCCTTGCTACTCGTAGTCGTAATAAAGTGAGTTAACTCGTCGAGTCCCTCCTCGGACTCGTCGAGTTCTACCCTATTCAGCTTCAACACATATAAGGTTTCACTTAAAAACGACTTACAAGCTCACAAATGTATTATGGTTTTTGAATCTAGGGTTTGGGACTTAAAGGCTGGAAATAAGGTCAACATGTAGGGATTAAGATGCTTAAATAGGATGCAAAACCCTAAAATTAGGGTTTCATTCTGGCAGCCATAGTCGTCGAGTTGAGGGCTCTCAACTCCTCGAGTAGGTTACTTAAAACCCGCGTCACTTTTGGTCTCTACTCGACAAGTTTGGGGCTTCCAACTCGTCGAGTTACTCTACAAAAATGAATAAATTATAATTAAAATGCATACCAGAAACCAGGCGTTACAAAAAGAATGATACCATATATTCTGAAAATGTTATTAAGATAAGTTTTTTGTTTTCAAATTTTGAAAATTGATTTTATACCAAAGACATGGAAAATGGTAAAAATCATAAAAAATACCATGTGTAAAAGAGGCAAGCTAGAAAAAAGACATGTGACATTTTTAGTGTTCATTTATTAGGATATGTAGATGTAGAGTAGATATATATTCTATAAAAAAACAGAAAAAATATGAAACAAGAAACCAATTATGGACATGGAAATGCTAAATATCAACTTAAAAGACGGTAATATATATATATATATATATATATATATATATATATATATATATATATATATATATATATATATGTTAATGTTTATTTGAGACCATGCTAATTTTGTGAAACCCTGAGACCAAATCTAAAAATAATTTTAAAATGCAAAATAAAAGGAAAAATCCGAAAATTCTTTTTTTAATTATTTTCGTCACTTTAATTACCTAAAAAAATAATAATAAGAAAAAAATTACTGTTTTTTTGAAAAATACGTGAAATATTATAATAGAATATTACAATGTAAATATTTTAATGCGATTTTTAGAAAGTTAAAATATTCTACTAGATTTGTCACATATGTAAAATATTATAATATTCTACTAGAATGTGTAAAAAAAAAAAAGGTTTTAGTTATTATTTTTTTTGGTATTTTATATATATATATATATATATATATATATATATATATATATATATATATATATATATATATATATATATATATATATATATATATATATAGCAAGGATCAATTGAGAACTCATATTTTCCCGAGAACCAAACGAGGACCGTTAGATTAAAATAACAGAAGGTTGAGTTATTTTGTGGCATTGTTGTAAATATTTGAAAAGAGTTAAACACGAGGGTATGATACTTAAATTAATCTTAGGGCATTTATGGTACTGAAAATCATCCCCCCCCCCCCCCTAAATTAATTGATTCCTTCTTTCTCTCACAAATCCCCCGATCGTCTCTTCGTCCTTATTTCTCTCATAGCTTCATCGGTGTTCGTTCCCCGATCCAGAACCAATGTTCGATTTATCAATGGTCTCCTCCATCTACTATCTATCTTATTCATTGAATCCAGGATGATGAAAGTCAACGCTCTCTCTCTCTCTCTCAATCCATCGTCCGCCTCGTTCTATTGAATCTCTCCCTACACAATCGCTCTGTCGCCGATTTCCGCCAAATCTACCGCTACAGTGAGCATCAAAGTCGACCCACACATTAACAATTGACGATCGACCTTAAAACAACTGATTTGATTGCAATTATGGTGGAATTGGATGCTAAAGAAGAAGAGGTGCTTCAATCCAGGCAAAAAGTCTTGAAGTTGGACATTTGAGGAATATAGGTGCTTCGATCGGCGATAGTAACTGAGAAACCCATGGACACTCTCTCTTACCTTCCCTCACCACCACCGAAACATATTATCTTGCTGGAAACAATGGTGATCATGTATGCAGTTTTCTTCCTCCTTGTAGTTCAGTCCTTTATGCCTTTATCTAGATCGCATCTGCCGACAATTACAATGTTTTTGGTCATCGATCGTTCGTGTGTTTATTCAATTTTGTTGGTGTATTTAGTGCTAAGGTTTTCCTGGAAAAAGAGTTGTAAATTTGATAATATGCATTAGGTTACCTTTTGAATTGGAATTAATTTGAGAACCTTTCTTGAATTCGTTTACCTGGGTCGATTTCTATTAAATATCAAAAGGATCTGAGGATAATTTTGTTGTTATTTCCATATTTCCATATAGAGATCAACTTGGGAGATTGATGAATTTGACCGGAGAACAAGTTACTTTTCTAGTATTAGGGTTTATGATAAGTTCTAGACTGGTATTAGGGGTCAATGGTCTAAAAAAAAGATTCCATTCAAGATAGTCTCCATCTGCAATGAAGTCATAATGATCTTGTGTTGCTAATGAGAGAAATGAGTGAAGATTATGATGGAGGTGTTTTGGTTCACTTACAGCACTTGAATGAGAAACACACTTATAGACATGTGCAGATTTTGGGAATGTTGTTTGCAAATTTCAAGCAAATGGTAGAGAAAAACCTTGAAACCCTTGTTTCAATCTGTGTGATTGGGATTCCATCATATTTTATAGACTTACAAAGGCGAGCTTATCTTGATGTTGCACATATTGCAGGTTTAAAACCTTTGAGATTAATGCATGCTTGCACTGCAATTGTTATTCACACATGAATCATTTGTGATTCACACATGTCACTTGTGATTCACACGTGAATAATCTTAATTATTTATTTTGTGTAGCCATCATATTTATTTTAATTTGTTTCCTTTTAGCGATTCACATATAATTCACATATGATTCACATGTGAATCATCTGTCATTCACATGTCAATTAGATGTGATTGACATGTGAATCACATATGATTTACAAGTGAATCACATTTGAATCAAATGTGTTTCATATGTGAATCGCATGTGATTTACATATGATATCATATGTAAATGTAATTCATATGTGAATCGGATATAATTCGTATGTGAATCCCATGTAATTCATATGTTAATCACATGAAAATCACATATGTAGTTTTGTGAGTGTTTTTGCATAAATCAATTTCTTTTTAATTTTCTTATAGATTTAGAAGAAATTGTGGTGGATATTAAAGAGATGAAAAATGATAAATTGAAGAAAATATGGAAATATTGACATGAAGACATGAAATGCTTTGAAATTTGTAGCATTTTTTATTTTTTAGATTTTATTTTGTATCGAATAAAATACTTGTACTATTATGTTTATAGAGTAATTAATAAAAATGATATTTTTTGTGATTTACTTATGAATATTATAGTATAAGAAATATGTATGCATTCACTTGAAAAAATATGCTTATACGCTCCTAAAATGTTGATTATTTTTGGTTAAAATTTTTTTTTATAAATATTCCAGTTTTTTTTAATACATTTACTTGAAAAAATATGCTTATATGCTCCTAAAAGGTTGATTTTTTTGGTTAAAAAAGTTATAGTTTTTTTTTTTTTAAATGTTCCAGTTTTTTTTGTTAATTTACTAAGTTTATAAAATTTATCGTTTTTAAAAAAAATGTAGTTTTTGGAAAAAAAAAAAAGTTTTGTTTCAAGTTTTTAAAAAAATTTATGTTTTCTAAAAAAAATTAAAAAATCTACAATTAAAAAAAACGAAAACTGTTATTTTTATAAAAAAATTTGATTTATAATGTTAATTTGAGAGTTTTTATTGATACTTCTAATAATACAAAAAGTTACAAGAGATTGGTAAGAAGACAATCATGCCCTTAAGAAGATAATTTTGATCCGACGTTCTACCATTAGTTCTCAGGCTCTTGGGAAACTTTGAGTTTCTCAACCGATCTTAACCCTATATATATATATATATATATATATATATATATATATATATATTATATATATATATATATATATATATATATATATAATATATATATATATATATATATATATATATATATATATATATATAGAGAGAGAGAGAGAGAGAGAGAGAGAGAGGAGAGTTCAATTGAGAAAAAAAAGGTTGAGAATGAGGGAATCATTCTCAAACACTCATTTATTTTTTCCATAAATGCCTCCGCCGTACCAGTAGAAATGGGAAAGGAATATATATTTGTTTTCCAACAAAACATGTTTCCTTAAACTATACTAAGCATTACCTTAATATATACAAAAACATAGTTTTTCGATTTTTTTTTTTAATTTTTAAGAAGCTATTTTTATCGAAAAATTATTTTAAATATACCAAAATTCATGATTTTTTATTCTCTACAAATACACATCTATATTGATATAGTTTTAAGATAAAATAATTTTTTTTTAATATTTTCAGTTTTCGTGATTCATAAGTGAATAAAGATGAATCAGGTTTTTACTACAGTACATTCGTTATTCACTTATGAATAAAATCTATGATTATTTTTTTTTTACAATTGAAGTATCAATCATATTTGAATATAACATATAATAAACATAGTATATTCATACTTAAATATTATACGATGCATTCACTTGTAAATATTACATAGTTTATTCACTTGTGAATATTAGATGATATATTCATTTATGAATATTAGATAATATTTTCATATCAGAATATTATTACATACTCTATTCACTTGTGAATATTAGATGATATATTCACTTGTGAATACTACACAGTATATTCACATATGAATATTACAAGGTATTTTTATATTACATAGTTTATTCACTTGTGAATATTTGATGATATATTCACTTATAAATATTAGATAATATTTTCATATCTGAATATTACGTAGTATTACATGGTATATCAAATATGAATATTACATAGTATATTCAATTATGAATATTAGATGATATATTCACTTATCAATATTACACAATATATTCACATTTGAATATTACAAGGTATTTTCACAAATTTATATAATTTTTATATATTATTCACATATGAATAACATACAAACTTGCTTATTTTTTTTTTTTTATTTTTTTTTTTGTTTTAATAATCATATTCAGGTGAAAAAAAATATTCATATATGAATATAACGTAGTAATTTAGTCTATTCATTTCATCAAACAGTTGGAGTGCATACAATTTAACTTTTTTTAAAAATGTTAAAACATGATACATTGACTATTTAAATCTTACAAAATAGTAGATTGATAGAGAATCATATGAAATTTTTCAAAAAAAAAAAAAACGATTTGATCTTTTTGTAACCTTAATTTTGAAGTTTTATTTGATAATCGATGTTGAATGAATGATATGAAGTGGATTTTCTGTTGATTATCGATGATGTTGATCTAATGATGCTGAGTGTATAATTAATCGTAGATGTTGAAGATCTGATCGTATTCAAGTAGAATTGAAGGTTTGATTAAAAGAATCAAAAATGAATTTTTGTTGTTAACTGTTGGATCGTGTTGATAAAAATGTTATTGACGAAGATCGATGATTGATTAGCACTAGATGATGTTGATGATGGTTTAATTGAAGATCTCTGGATGATTGTTGAAGGTTGTAGAAAAATTTTGGATGATGAACGATGAATGAGTTTGAACTGTAATCTAATTCTCTACAGATACATATTTGAGATTGAAGGTTGTTATGATATTTACAAGTTTCCACCGTGTCTTTTTATGCTTAGATTAAATGAGTGGCTAAGAATGATTCCCTCATTCTCAACCTTTTTTTATTTTCTAAATTGAACCCACCTCTCTCTCTCTCTCTCTCTCTCTCTCTATATATATATATATATATATATATATATATATATATATATATATATATATATATATATATATATATATATATATATATATATATATATATAGGGTTAAGATCATGTGAGACGGACTAAATTTGTAAGACCATGAGACGTATTTTTTAATTTTTTTTTAATTTTTATTTGTTAATTCAAGTTTCGAAAATAATATTTAAAAAAAGAAGTTTTGGATTTTCCACTTATTTTGCATTTTAAAATTAGTTTTTTAAAATATGTACAGTGTAATATTCTATTACAATATTTCACGTATTTTTCAAAAAAAACGTGATTTTTTTTAGTTAATTCAAGTTCCGAAAAAAATATTTAAAATTTTTTTTTTTAGATTTTTCCATTTATTTTGAATTTTAAAATTATTTTTTAGCATATGTCAGTGTAATATTCTATTAGAATATTTCACGTATTTTTAAAAAAATGGGGGTTTTTTTAGTTAATTCAAGTTCTAAAAATAATATTTAAAAAAAAAAGAATTTTTGGATTTTTCCATTTATTTTGCAATTTAAAATTATTTTTAGATTTGGTCTCACGGTCTCACAAAATTAGAAAGATCTCAAATAAACCTGAACCTATATATATATATATATATATATATATATATATATATATATATATATATATATATATATATATATATATTAACTGGACGCATATTATTGGATTACAGAAATATGACTTCGGTATTTTTATTTAATTTTGACCAAACTTCAAAAATGATCCCTGTGGTTTTCAAAAATATCAAGTTTAGTCCCTAAGTCCAAAAAACCTCACAGATGGTCCCTATGGTTTCAAAACTTTTAACAAATAGTCTTTTTCGTTAACTCCGTTAGCTTTTGGCCGTTAAGTGAAGGGTATTTCTGTCATTTCACTGCCACAGGGAACATTTATGACGATTTGTCTTATTTTAAAAAAAAAAACTAATTATTTAATTGATTAATATTAAAGGGTATTTCTATCCTTTTCGTCCCACCCTCTATCTATCTCTCTCTCTCTCTCTCTCTCTCTCTCTCTCTTGGTGCTTGTTTCAGCAAGAACACCAAAACCACCGCTCTTAAGCCTGCTTCCCGCAATCCGACCTCAAATCGAGCCCTCAACAACCACAGAACACGAAATCAAATGGATCACACTATTTCTTCGCTCTTCGCGTACCTTCAGATACAAAATCTGGAAATGATTCGGATTTTGAATATAAGAGTTTGTTAAATTACGGGCTAACGATTTCGAGTAAAGGTCTGGAGAAGGAGTTAGAGGAGTTCGATCGAGTTTTAGAAGATTATAGTGCATTTTCGGTGAAAGAGGTCAAGAGAAGTGTGTCGACAACGGTGGCGGTGGATAATGGTGGTTTTGTGGAGGCTAAAGCCGCAGCGAATTCGACGACGTTGGCGCCAAATGTTGAGGATTACAGTGGGTCTGTTGCGAGGATGATTGATGCGGGATCAGATCAGTTAATCAAGGGAATTTTGTGGTGTGGGGATGTGATGGTGGATCGATTAAAATGGGGAAACGAGTTTTGAAGAAGAGGACGAAACCTAGTTCAAAAGCTGAAGTTAGTCCAAAAGCTTTGAAGAGAGTGAAGAGGTATCATCTTGTTTTCTTCTACAACATTACTTTTATCCATTGAATACTTCTAATTCCGTATCTATTCAATTTCATTTTGTTTCAGGGTTAAGAGTTTGACAAAGATGTCAGAAGACATAGCAACCGGGATTTTCTCTAGTGTTGTGAAGGTATCTGGATTCATCACAGGCTCCCTCGTGAACTCCAAACCTGGCAAGAAGTTCTTCAACTTCATCCCTCGTGAAATAATTCTCGCGTATTACGATGGTTTCAGTATGCCTCCCTTCTTAAATCATTATTTTTGTTACCATAAATAATTCTCGAATCATTTCTCAATTCTGTTTCTGGGTTTTTGTTTGCAGATAAAGTATGTGAATCCCTTGAAGTTGCGGGGAGAAACGTGATGACGGTGGATCTGTGTGTTTTGATCGGAGTAGAGGCATGAAGTAAAGGGGTTAACAGGTTTTTGTTCGCAAAACCACCGTCTAAATACCCTTCACTTAACAGGTTTTCAATCGAAATAAAGGGGTTGCTGAAGGGAAGGGATGACAGTGGATCTGTGTGTTTTAATCGTAGTAGAGGCATGAAGTCACTTACCTTAGCTGGTGTCACATGGTGGTGATGATGGCAGAAGGAGCAATAACAACTTTGATTCTAATGGAGAAAATGGTTCGATGTTTTTTTTAGAGAGAGGAGAGGGTGTAACCCTTTAATATTAAATAATTAGTTTTTTTAAATAAGATAAATCTTCATAAATGGTCCCTGTGGCAGTGAAATGATAGAAATACCCTTCACTTAACGGTTAAAAGCTAACGGAGTTAACGAAAAAGAACATTTGTTAAAAGTTTTCAAACCACAGGGATCATCTGTGAGGTTTTTTGAACTTAGGAACTAAACTTGATATTTTTGAAAACCATAGGGACCATTTTTGAAGTTTTGTCTTTAATTTTTAAAACTTATTTTTTTTTATTAAAAATTGAATATATGAAAATCATAATATTTTTCGTATTCTGTAAATATACATTTATATCAATATATAATATTTATTTTTAACTCTTAGCTCGTTTAAATTCATACGTAAATAGAATTGTAACTATTTTATAAAAAGAATTGTTTCCGTTGGTTTAGATTCGTACATGTGAACATGAACTATTTCTATAGTTTCGATTTATTCGTGAATTTGAATTGTATATGGTTTTTTACACATATTAATTTAGATTAAAATGAACATTATATACGATTTTTTGCAATAATTGTTGATCATTTATATGACGAAGTTTATTTGTGAGTTTTTGTAAATTTATTTGTTTATGATCATAATTTAGTAGTATTTGTATATGAATATAATATTTATTCGAATTTAGAAATACGTTTACTAGATTATCAATATATAATAATAATAATTATTATTCAAATATACAGTTACAAGTTAATAAATAAAAATACATAACATTTATACTTATCCTATCATGCCTTTAATTTTTCGTTTTCTAACAAGTATCAAAAAAAAGTTTAAAAAATAAGATAAAAGTTTACTAGGGTTTTCCAGAAATACCCTTGCAAATCCTTCGATGGATGATGACCATATCATATTTATTGCTAATTATTTGATTAGGCGCTTGTAGTGGTACATGTCACTTGTCATGGGCTACTACAAATGCAAGTGCAATCTTTTGTGGAAACCATAACACACACACTCAACGGCCACAATAGCCTATAAGTTCTTCAAAGTTGTTATTATTTATGAATAAAAATAAAAATGTATGTTTTTGATAAATAATATGTAAAATCAATTGTTATATATCTTTTAAGATAAGGCTATATTCAATCGTTCACTTTGTTGAGGATCTATTTGCTCTCTCGTTACAGAAGATACATTGCATCTATGCAAAGCTTTCTTTAGATCTTTATATATTCATGCACCACTTTGCTTGTGTTATTTCTCGAGCAATACGTGTCTTCTAAAAGCAAAAGTTATTCTTGAAATGTTTTTATGAAAAACGCAATCAACTATCAAATCCAATGAATCCATATTCTGAATTACTGCCTGAAACATGACTTGGAAATCATTAAATGTTTGTTGTTCAACACAAGACCAATTACCGGTTTTGCCACTTTTAGGTCTCTACTTAAGTTTAAATGACGAAGCCAAAAGAACCTGGTGAAATGTGCCATTGCCCCCTTTAACTTGTGTAATTAATAAAAAATATTAACTTTTTGTGTATAAAATTATAAGTTAATTTGTTTTTGCTTTGTACATTAGCAAAGAAACTTCCTCCTCCCTTCCCGCCACTTAGGAAAGAAAAGGAGCTAGCCCGGCTGAACATGAGAATAAAACCTGTTTCTAGTCTAATGCTTAAAGATTCATGACAGAATTTATAAAAATGATCAACACTATTAAATTAAACTTAAGCAAAAGCTGTGGGTGAACAAATGGATCGAACCAACCCTAAACCGGAATTGATGACTCAAGAGGACCGATAACTGGACTGGTTAGCCTGCGTCGGTGCCGGTTTTCCGATCAATTACCAGGTTGGAACACAATTGTTCATGCAGTTTGTACAAGTAGATAATGTTGTAACTAAAAATATTTCAACTTTGATACTTTGTGTTCCGATGATTGTAATTTTAACCAATATGTAACCAAATAATGTGTTTATATAGTCCAAAATAAAGTACAGATAGTAAACTACATGTTGGAAAAAATTTCATGTGATTCTAACTTCAACCAAATGATTTATGGAAAATTTAAAGAAGATAACAATTTCTGCATAATATTGAAAAAAAAATACAATTTAGCTTTGTACCCCGCATTCTAGGACATGTAACTAAATCAATATTCATCCAAATAACATTTTTCTTTAGTATAAAAGAAATACAAACAATAAACATTAGAAAAAAATTCATGTTATTTTGATTTCAAATGAAGGAATTATGTAGTTTAAAGAAGAAAATACATT